AGAGATATAACTACTGACAACGAATTCACAAAAACATTACATTATAAAATAGTGACAAGAGATAACGACGGCGATACATCTACTACTTACAAAATATTAATTCGTCGAGTATTTATCACTACGTGAAAGAAGAAATTTAACATTTAATATAATAATAATAATAATAATAATAATAATAAAGATGATAGTGGGAAGACATAATTTATCATATGCTTACGTAGCACGCCAATGCCTATCGTACGTACAAATGTTGGGACTCAAGAGAGACATTAAAATGAAACGAGTTCTGTGGTGTATATATATTGAATTAAGATAAATTTATTGAAAAAAGATGATTAACGAAAATTGCCGTGATGAACATGGTTGCAAAATACAATGTAAAGTTTGTCGATTAGTATACGGAGACATAGGAGGCAAGCAAAAAAGAAAATTGAATGGGTGAAAGCCAGAAACGGAACGATATTCATATTATAATTCTGGAAAAGTGTATTTTAGGTATTATATTTCCAGCTCGTGGCAACGTAATTTTCGCGGTTTTAATGAAACAACTATGAAATGTTCTAAGATTTTACATAGGATTATTAACAACAACACTTGTAGTTAGATAAACACATCCATTTAACTTAGAGTATTAACTTATTCACGAATTTATACTGTGATATTGACATCAAATACAACAGATTATTTCTCACACAAATAGTATACAAAAGTCAACTTTATTTGGACCGGTTCTGTTGTTTTCAAGAGCCCATAAATAATTGAAAGAAATTTTACGACTCACAGAAATAACATATTCCGTATCTCTCATAACCTATTCTCTTTACCGGCATAAGTAATCAGCACAAAATATAACTGTAGCTCTGGTTCGGATCCACGTAATGAATGCGGGTGACCAACATTCATATTCCAAAAATATATTGTACGACCCCCCACTCCTCTTATCCAAATAAATCAGACTGTGAATCGCCTCTACTACGCCATTAATAAATTATGGCCTCTTCGATTATTATATTAACATTAATTGATAACAGAAATCTCCTAGTATAATCCTTGACGACGCAAGAAGGAGTTTTGCAGCGAAAAACGCGACGGGAACTTTTACAAGGTTTCGGTTGTTTTGAGGTACATAACATACATTTTGCATTATAGGGTCTATTCAGAGGAAAATATATCATGGGTGCATATTTTTATTACGTTACATCGTTGTGGTAGATTTGCATCTGTGGATTAATGTTAACTCTGTTTGTTTATAGATCAATATGGTAAAAAATAACTCAGTATGAAAAAAACTTCATATGTCACCACTTGATGTAATCGTTAAGGTCCACCATGTTTTTTTATCAAAAGATGTGGCAATACTTGCGTTTTTGCTCATCGAAGCCATTCAACAAGTTGCATTAATTCCCTGCTAATCTGTAATGAGACTTTCGGATTAAAAACTGTAAACTTCTAATGCATACACAAGCATTTAATCGATAAAAGTTACGGTATGTTCAGTTAAAGGTTGATACTAGTGATAATTCGTATACATTGATATTCATTCTTTCTATCAATGGAACAGCACTGCAAATAATACAATAAATATGTATTGAATAATCAATTTGTTATACCGTTACAAATAATAATTTCTAAAAAGATAACGTTTTACGAACATAATATTTGCCTTAATATCAAGTTCTAGATTAATACTGGTTTCTGAACAGGTCTATATAATAGGCGAATGTGAATTACGCACACCGAATAAATATTTTAAAACTTTATAAAAGTGGACATGCAATACAAGTCAACAAAATTTAATTAAAAAAAAATATTTTTATCACCAGTGAAATGTTACCAAAAATACCTTCAACCTGAGCTTTAATTGATTTTTTTTGAATGATTATTGTGAATAATGCACAGATGAGGTTCATTAGCACTGGTGTGACTTTCTACACGACCAGTTGCTTTATCTTTTGTTGCCTGCTTGGACAACAACGAAATCAGAGACTAAGAAGTCAAAAACGGGCAAGAATATGGTGAGTGTAATTCTCAAAATACGTAATCCCGCTAACCGAGAGAAGAGAGAACGTCAGAGCATCAATTGATGTCCATTTCGCGGTCCCTCTGACAGGGGAAACTCCGATAACGTTCGAGTACCCGAGTTGTGTCAGGATTTGTCAACCCTGGCTTTGTTAGCTAGGTCGAATTCAGAACTTATATATCTGGAGGTAGAATGGTATAGCGGACGGTCTGCTCTGATTACGATAGCTTTCTGTGGTTTCTCCCGATCAACATCTGGTGAGTGCGGGAGTACGTATCCGATCAACACGTTGACCCGGACCGTAGCGCGATCTTTTCTTACACCTTCGTTGCCATTGTGCTATTTCCTTTATCTTCCCTTTACACATAGCATATAACTCCGCACTACAGAACATTTCAACATCACATCATGGCCAGGGGTAGTAATGATTATATTGTATGGGAGTATCGGAGACAGTCGGTAGCTTAGAAGCTTTGTTCGGTATGAGGCGTGATAATCTAATCATATAATTATAAATTATTACATGACGTCTTGGTAAGAGATCACCTGGTCTTGAGAGAAAGTCACTATCTAGTCGAATGTAGGGCATTAGGCGCCGGACTCGAATATTCTGCGAAGGAAAACTATTCATCCTAATTTGACGAGCAGACACATGCACTATCAATTACGGGACATACATGACCACTATGCTTATGTTCTAACGTAGCACGGAATTAAACTAAAACTAATCAGTTGCGTCGCGAATTAATGGCCTAGTAACGGTTAGACGACAGAAATTGGCGGGTTCGAAACCGGATATCGGTAGCTTGGACTTTTCTTAAGGACGATAAATCCTTCGTATCGGGCCTTCTTCGGAGGGTAAGTAAAGCCGGCTGTCCATTTATTTGCATGTAAAGAGATCTCAAGCTGAATGACGCCTCTGTTAGCTAAATTCAAAAAAATCGACTGTTTTCGCAAGAAATACCTCGCTTTCTCTGCTAGTGCGTAGCGTATAATGTGCGATGGTCAGACGAGAATGCTGGACTGCTACGTGGCTCGAGAACTCACCACGTAAAATAAGGCAGTTATGTCATCAATCAATTCAAATTCAACGTATACTCGCCTGATATAAAAATAGGATGAAATTAAAAGGATTAAATCAAAATTTAAATTTAAACAAAATATAATGACTCGTACCGCGGGGGGGTGCGCGTGGCTGTTGCGTCTGGGCGCCGTAAACGCTCAGCAAACGAACTCCCGCGCATCGATTTGAGAACTTACTTCAGTCGTACTTATTGAATAGGCGCGTTTCGCGTTCTCGCGCAAAAACCGCTCTAAATCGGCCCGGGCAAGTACCGCTACTAACGACATAGGGTCCTGCTTTCCGCGAAGATACAGGGCGGTTCACATGCACGTCGGGACTCTCATCAGCAGCAAGTCAGGCGGCCCGTGCAGTAGGGCACCGCGTCAGCTCCGCCCAGACGTAAGTACCAGCAGGTTACGTCTTCCATGCCAGTCGCCACGCGAGGCTTGGAGGGCGCCACAAGCTAGCACTGTGAAGTGGAGCAGTGACTTTCAGTGGTATTCTATGTGTAGTAATTATTATATTATTTATTATTATTATTATATATTTATATACTATTATAAACTTATTTAAACTATTATTAAATATTATATTATTAATTTATGTTTATCTATCATTATATTTTATTGCATTATTTTATTTCAGGAGCATAATTAATATTGGACTTATGTCAACATTAATTTTGGACTGGACTTGCTCTTAGTTGATTTATTATTTATTAACTATAATCATTATTATTTTCTTGCTTGTTCCGTCCGGGTCGGAGGTCATTGGTTATTGGTACCCAAACGTTTCTGGTTAAATCAGAATATGAAAATTATTTGGACCAAACATTCAATACAACAAATGACATATATCTCTTTGTAACAGAGAATTCGTAGTATACAGCTGGAAAGTCAATTCTCTCTATGGAATATCGGCGGTACTAGGTCTTGTTGTTAAGCAGTATACTATGAGCTTATCATGGCGTTCTGCATAAGGATCGCTTGTACGAGGTTGCTCTCATCTCACAACCCAGGAGGAGGGAGCCTTCTAGCTGCTTTAGATTACGTATCAGTGAGCTTAGCGGACGCCACGACTCCAGAGTGCCTCTGAAAAAATTTCAGAATGAGTGTTACCCTTACTCATTACTTTTTCTTCTTCTTCTCTTTCTTTGGGTCTGTGCTTTTTTCTTTCTTCTTCTTCTTTTCTTAATTTGATTATTATTATTATTATTATTATTATTATTATTAATATACTCTACAAATCCTTTCGCTTATCGAGGGTGCCTACAGCATAGATACGGGACTTGAAGAACAAGGTGTCGCTTCGCTGCAAGCTCGGGCGGTCAGTTATATCAATAGAAATCTCCTACGTGGTGCAGTAATCAGGAGAATAGCGACGATGAATTAGTCTTCTTGCCATCTTTCAAGACATAACCCACCTTCACAAATACAAACGCACATGTCTCGCTTAGTTCAATACAAGCCTGATATTTTCGCTAACCATCTCGGCAACGAAAGGCAACTATAGATTCGGTCTACTACTATTATTATTATTACTTTCAGTCGTCTCGCCTTAGTTGTAATGCTACAGCGACACAGGGACCGTTTAGAGAACCAAGGTGCCTGCTTTGCTGCAAACTCGGGGGTCAGATTTAACGCTAAGTTATAAAAACAATAAAATCTCCTCCGATGCTGCAGTACTCGGCGGGGAACAGCTTTGCTATTATGTATTATTATTATTATTATTATGTATTATTATTATTATTATTATTAAGCCACCTCCTACACTACTCGCGATTCGCGAGCGGTTTCTCGGGATTCGCCGATAGCCGCATGTTTTTGAAGAC